GTGTGTGTGTGTGAGTGTGTGTGTGTGAGTGTGTGTGTGTGTGTGTATGTGTGATGGATCCCCTTGGAGCTGTGCTCTAAGTGCACTGCGTGTGTGACTGTTCTCTCCCGCCTGCTCTGCGCTGTGGCTGGGAGGCTGGGAGTGGCCCAGGTGCATCTGTGTCTGGATCTTCCAGGCCCCAGAGCACGGGCGGGTCCTGGGAGCCGTGGCACACCGGGACCCACACGTCCTGCAGAGACCCTCCCACGTCACAGCCTGGCCCAAGTCCAGGAAACTCCCCATGGGGCGGTGCTGTGGGGACCAGGGCAGGGCTGGCCTTGACCCCCCTCCCTGGCCAGGCCCCTGGCCGCCGCCGCAAGAACATGTCAGAGTTCCTGGGAGAGGCGAGCATCCCTGGGCAGGAGCCCCCCGCGCCTTCCAGCTCCCCGCTTTTTCGGCGGCAATGACAGCTGGAAGAACCGCGCCGCCAGTCGCTTCAGCGGCTTCTTCAGCTCGGGCCCCAGTGCCAGCGTCTTCGCCCAGTGCCAGCGTCTTCGGCCGGGTATGTGGTCCTGTGGGCCCTGGGGCAGGGCAGCGGCTGGCCCTGACCTCTGACCCTGACAGTGGTCTCCTTCCAGGAGGTGGACAAGATGGAGCAGCTGGAGGGCAAGCTGCACGCCTACGGCCTCTTTGGGCTGCCCCGGCTGCCCCGGAGGCTTCGCTTCGACCATGACTCGTGGGAGGAGGAGGGGGACGAGGAAGAGGATGAGGACGATGCCTGTCTGTGGCTGGAGGACAGCTGGCGGGACCTCATTGATGGGCATGAGGTGGGTGCCACCCACAGCCGCCTCCTCCCTCTTCCGGGGAAAGGACAACATGATCCCCCCACTTCCACTTCGTGGGGCCCTTCTGAGCACCCAGTGACAGGATGTTCCCAGGACAGCCCTGTGAAGCTGTTGTCATCATTAACCCACTTTGGGGAAACTGAGGCAAAATGAAATTACAGTGTGCCGTTTAGATGTCTTAGTGGTAGAGGAGGGCCCAGAACTTGGGGGACCCCTGAGTCTCTACCGGGAAAAGGAGGCTACATGCAAGGTTGCTCCCCTCCCCGCTCCCTGGCTGTCCTGCACCCGGCTCCTGGCTGACCCCTCCTTCCCCACAGAAGCTGACCCGGAGGCAGTGCCACCAGCAGGAGGCGGTGTGGGAGCTCCTGCACACGGAGGCCTCCTACATTAAGAAACTGCGGGTGATCACGAACGTGAGTGGGGCCCAGAGCCACCCCATCTGCTCCCTTTGGGTGCCCCCCCTCCCCCAGAAGAGTTAGGGCAGTGATGGCGAACCTTTTGAGCTCGGCGTGTCAGCATTTTGAAAAACCCTAACTTAACTCTCGTGTCACATATAGAAATTTTTTGATATTTGCAACCATAGTAAAACAAAGATTTATATTTTTGATATTTATTTTATATATTTAAATGCCATTTAACAAAGAAAAATCAACCAAAAAAATGAGTTCACATGTCACCTCTGACATGTGTCATAGGTTCACCATCACTGAGTTAGGGCCTTTGCAGAAGGGGCAGTCGCAGGCCACCAAGTGGGAAGGAAGCAAGCAGGGCTGCACCTGGGAGGGCCTCCGGCAGGTGTGTGGGTTGAGCTGAATTAACACGAGTCTCACGCTTTGATTCGCTCATTCAACGGCTATTCCCGAACACCTGCTGTGTGCCAGGTGCCCAGCAACCCACACCCTAGCCGTGGAGACAGCGTGGGTGGGCGCTGGGGCATGTGTATGTAGGGACTTTGATCTGGGGGGGAGCACCTGGCCTGGGCTTGGGGGTTCAGGCAGGCCCCCTCTGAGCTGAGACTCAGAGGCTGAGCCAGGGAAGAGTGGAGGACAGCTTTCTTCCAGGTGGGGCCTGGGCAGGGCGACCCTCCAGCAGGCCATGGGGTTTGGGCGTTTTCTGAAAAGGTGAACCCTCGCTGCCCCTGAGTGCCTAGAGCCTCCCGGGAAGCGTGAGGGGTAGAGGGGAGCCTAAGAATCTGGGTGTGGAGTCGGGACTGGGACCCCCCCCAAGCTGCAGCGCCCCGTACCCCCACAGCTGTTCCTGTGCTGCCTCCTGAACCTGCAAGAGTCGGGGCTGCTGTGTGAGGTATGGCTGGGCCTGGGGGAGGGGATTGGGATGGGGTGGGGGGAGGGGCTTAAGCAGGGGTGGAGACGGAAGGGGCGGGGCTGGAAGAGGGTAGGA